TATATATATATATATATATATATATATATATATATATATATATTATATTGTATTTTATTCAAACATCCAAAAGTAAACAGCATGCAATTATATATAGAATGAACATGTGTAAGTTAAGAATATGATTAAAGTCACGAAAAAGCAGAACATTATCAGCGGACAGTAAAATTGAAGTTAGCACATCAGCCTTTTCTGTTCCCCAATTTTTATACTAAACCCAAAGAGCTTCTTTCCTATCGAATAAAGTCAGCTGTGATTCTGTGAAATACTCTCTGTTACCACAGATCCTATATACAAATTGTATATACAGTAGTTGCATATTGTTGTATATAGGATCTGTTGTAATGCTAAGGTGATGTATGCAAAATAGGCTTCAGATTGAACGCCATCACATTCATATTGATTGGTCACTCATTTTCAATTTCCCACCAAAAAGCTTTTCTCTCAAAAAAAATCAATGCAGACCGATAAGTAAGCACTCACTGTGCTGTAATTGGTTGAGTACCGAACTCGTATAGTGTAGCACTGTAGCAGGTGTAGGCGGAACAATTTAGGCTAAGGCAAAATGTGTCCTGCCCTGACCAATATTATCCAAGGAGGACCGTCCAAAATTGGTCCCCCGGACAAATTTTAGCGGCCAAAATCAGTCCCCCAAATTGATTTTAGCCCGGACCAATTTTTGCGTGACAATAAGCCTACACTCTTTCTAATTTTATTTTTATTGACCTAAGAATGAATTCCAAATAGGATTTTAACTAATAATTTGCAATGCAATATTTATTTATATGAAATCAGCAATAATATTATATGTTCCCAATATTATTTTGTGATATCAATGTTAATGACCAAATATTTTTTTTTATTGAGCATATTCTATTGGAAGCATGTAGCATGAATAGAGTAACAACTTAAAAAGTAAGGGTGTAATGTTATGATATAATTGGAATCCTATATGAATGTACACAAAATCCCTATGGTTAAGGTTCAAATTAATTTGACAAATTCGGTTGACAGTTCTATACCGTTCACACTAAGGATTCAGCGGAAAAGAATTCTGGATTGATGTGAAGTTGTTTTTTTTTTTTTTTTACTCAAAGGATGTCAAAATACAGTACAATTTGTTTATTTTGAGACTGCTGTAGCTTTTGTGATACAATAAAAAATATGTATATTTGTCCACTTAATAGGCGTTGAATACTGATTTGAATATTGATTTGACCATTTGGCACACCCAGAAATTGTCCCCGTCTAATAATGTGGTGTCCCATTAATAGGGTTGGCCGTATTGTTGAAATATATAATTCCCCTTAATTGCTTCACGGAAAAGTGTCCCCTTAATAGAAGTGTCCCCAAATAGGGGTGTCCAAATGTAGGGGCTCTGCTGTATTATATTGGCCATATATTTTGTATAATTTTTCGAAACTTTCATGATATCTTGAGGTCTTGGGTCTTGGGAATTTATAGCAATAAATTCTGTGTCCAAAAGAGTAAAAGGTTGCCGACCGTGGGTCTAGTTACTGCACAAATTTTTTTAAATACCGGTTACTACATACACCAACGCTCGATAAATTTGTAATGAACAGATTAAACTTCACTATCTCACTGAACTAAATTGAAGAACTATTTATAAGCATTTTAGAATATTTTTTCAACCAATTGCCATCATATTGTGGGTATATGACAACAAATTTCAAATGCAAAGAATTCCTTTGCAACTAGTACCATTTGAAAGAGCCTTAATGTAGCATTACATTGATACCAAGATTATTGCTCTCCCATCAAATATCAACAAAGTTACAGAATTTAAGTAATTATTAATTATGCTTAAATATGTGACCTTTTTCTTGAAAAATGATCAAAACTGCTTTTTCTTCTTTGTTTTTTTGTGGCCAGTAGCCTTTGGCATAGAATGCCTTCCTATAGCCCCAGTCCTTAATAAACGAAACAATTGATTTTGATGTGACAAAGATTTATAATATAATGATATTTATTTATTTTTTAGTACAGTAGCTACTTTGACTGGATTTAGTAATGCACTTGTCAATTGTATTCTCCCCCCCCCCCCATGGACCTGGGCCATAGCGGGGCACTAGCCGGGAGCTGGGAATGTACACATGGTTGTGCCCCCATACAGCCAGGACGTAAATTTACCCATAGATGTAACAGGTCTCGGAAGGGGCCTGGGAATTTTACATGTTGGAGTTGCATCAGGGGCAGTTGTGTCGTGGAATATTAAACATGTTTAATATTTTTTACAACGGCATAAGACTGTCCCTGTTGATAAATCGCGTCAGACTGCGTATGCCTTAATATTGAACTAAATGAGTACAATTGAACATTTTGATATTTATGATGCATTTGTATTTCCTCATCCTAAATCTATTTAATGTAATTTATTTTACAGTAGAAATTTGAAGAAACTTGGACATTGCACCTCCTCTGCAACAAGTCAACCTGCCCTGCTTGGCTGAATGACTAATCTTGCTGCCACTGCTGAATGGTGAGTGTGCAAGAAAAAAACTATGTGAATGTTCTTATGAATTTTATGTCCATTGCAAATTGCTTTGTGGGATAAATAAATGCTTGAGAACCTTTACCCAAAAGTGACTTAATAATAATACCAAATATTTATATGGCACCAATTCCAAATTGAATGATCACCCCTGGTCACTTAGTATCATAATGTAATTGAAATTTGGTTGGGTCAAACCGAATATTTTCTGTCCAAATTTGACAAAAAAGGTAATGTAAAGTAATTATATCCTTTTAAAGCTTCAATTTGTCTAATTGGTAAATTTTTTTGTGGCTTGAAGAAATCGTCTTGTTTAAATTACTTATAAATATTTTCCCTTTATAATAAATAATTAATGACTTTAAACTCTTTCCATCGGACTGTTGATTCAATTATAAAATATTTTCCCTTTTCATTGGAGTTTGATTTATAAAATTGACTTTAAAATTGTTTCCCTTTTCATTGGACTTTATATATTATTGTGTTATACTTTCCATAAATGTTTGATTTAGGAAAATTGACTTTAAAATAGTTTCCCTTTTCATTGGACTTTATATATAGTTATGTTACTTTGCATAAATGTTTGATATATAAAAAATGACTTTAAAATATTTTCCCCTTTCATTGGACTTTATATACTGTTGTATTACTTTGCATAATAAGTTTGAATTATAAAAATTGACTTTAAAATATTTTCCCTTTTCATAGAACTTTATGTATTCTTGTATTACTTTGCATGAATGTTTAATTTTAAAAAATTGCCTTTATATATTGTTGTATTACTTTGAATTTCTTACTGTTTGTTTAATGACTTGTTCTTTCAGGTTATGGCAACTGGTGATTTGCTAGTATAGTATAGTATAGTATAGTAGTATAGTATTGAATAATTTATTGTAATAGTATTGAATAAATATTAATTGTATTCAGTATATTATTGAATATTGTTTTTTTTCTTCTCGAGTACTGAATGAGCAGGATGGTAAAAAAAAAAAAAGCGCCCTCAAATAGAAAAGGCCCAAAATATGACTAAGTTATTTGGCCACAATAATCTGTCCGGTTCTGATAAAAATAGTGAAGAAAATCGCCCTAAATAGCCTTTTTATTCCAAAGTTTTTTAGGGCCTCTTAATCGTCAATGGCACTAAAAGGCACCCTCTAACATCCAATTTTTTCACAATTACAAAAAACTGGCCATTAGAGGGCACACTCTACTACCTTAATAGAATTAATGGCAAATAAGAGACCACTAAAAACATTGAAATAAAATGGCTATGAAGGGCGGTTTTCAGCACCACAGTTAAAGTTAGGCTCTGGAGGGGAAAACAATTTTTGATATTTGGTAGAATTTTTACACCCTTCCCCAATTTATCGTCAAACAACATTTTTCTGTCTGAAAAATCAGTTTTACAACATATCAAAATTGTTTTCCCTCCGGAGTCTGACTATAGTAATTTTAGAGACCCTGGAAATTTTGGCTTTCTATTGGAGGGCGCCCTTCAGCACCACTTTTAATAGAAATTGAGAAACATGGGGAAAATATAGCCTTTTTCTATTGGAGGGCGCTTTTTTCACCTTACCTGCATCCATCGGTCTTCACAACTTGAACAGCAAAGAAACATCAAAACACTGCTTATAAGTACAGTTGAACTTGCCTAAGTCAAATCCAAAATGGCATTGAAAAATTAGATAATATTTGCAGATTGTTAATGGAAAACGCAATAATTTGGCATTTAAAATAAGCTCGACTTAGGCAAGTTTAACTGTATCATCTTAATGACCAAAATCACAATGTAAATTACATGGGATATCAAAATATCTGCTAGGCTTGTGTTAAATTATAGCAGCTTTCTGGTGGTTCTCTTGTCTGATTGTAATTAGCCAGGTCATATCTTCTGTACAATATAATTTTCAGAATGAAGCAATTGTTGTCTTGATGCTGCAACAACTTTTCATAACTTACCGGCATCCATCAGTCTCCAAAAGAACGGACACAACACACTACTTATATTTTTTATTTCCATAACCAAAATCACAAAATGTAAATTATTAGGCATCAACATTCATTATATAGGCTTATACAATAGATATTAATACATTATAGTAGGTTTCTGGTTCTCTAGTGATATTGTAATTAGCCAGTTCATATCTTCTGTACAATATACTCATTTTTTTCAGAATGAAGCAATTGTTGCCTTGATGCTGCAATAACTTCATAAATAATACAACCGCTGTATGTTCTCTTTCACCAGGATTACGGCATCGCAATATTCAGCAAGATGTTCAAGCTAAACTTCTGTATGTATCACAAATTCAATTAGAGAAAGTTAAATTGCCTATATTAAACAATGTTTCTCTTCCATGTCTTGCTCTGCAGCAGTACTTTTCCTGTCTTGCACCTCTGTTGCCGCATCTACCAAAAATAAAAAAATAAAAAAATTAGTCACAAACAGGTGATAATAAGGTAATAATAAAGTTAATATAATTTCTTAAGCTTCAGCATATTCAAACCCGTAGCCAGGTTCTTCTAAGGAGGGTTCTCTGGGCGTGGAGTCCAGGGTCCAGGTTGGGTCGCGGAAACTTCCAAAGCCAGAGGATTTCTGTGCATTATGGGTCTAAATAATGCTAATAAAAGCAGAGTCCTCGTGGCCGGGTCTGCAGTACATTAGTTTGGTTGGAAAACTTGTTTGAGAAATTTGAGAGGGGGTTCTCCAGAACCATGAAAAAAACCTCTGGCTACGGGCCTTATATTTCACTTAATATTTACAATATTTATAATTCTTTGATGTATATCAAAAATTACTTGTTATCTTGAGGAATGTCGTCTGCAAAAAAAAAAAATTACAAATATTGTTTTTATATGCACAGTAACTTTCACAAATAAAGATTTGGTTAAGCGCAAGGTTAGTGTTCTATTGGATAAGACACCAGGCTAGTTATCTGATGTGTAAATCAGATTTTCATGTACCAGTATGTACTGTAATGCCATTCAATGGTGTTTTATGTTTTATTTGGCTTCATAATGAATTGGTAGGAATTGGAACTACTGAGCTGCACTTAGTGGCTAGTGTTTAAATCCAATTTTCAAATAGCAGCAAGTACTGCATTGCTACATATTCTTTATTGTAACACCAACATGTACACCAACGCAGTACATGCCCAATTGATGAAAAAAAAAAACCAGGGCTGGAGCCAGGATTTGCCCGACGGGGGGGTCCAAGGTCCCCAATGGGGGAGGAGCCGATTCCCGACGAATTGATTTTTTTTTCGATTAAAAGGTTACGAAAGTGGTCAAGGCCGGTTTTCAAAGACTTATTTAATCGATTTTAGAGTCTATTATGTAGAAAATACATATAATTTTTTTTTCTCCCCGACGAATTCTGCTTTTTCTCCAAGACGGGGGAATCTCTCCCCGATGGGGGGCCCCCAGCCCGCCCGCTGGCTCCAACCCTGAAGATAACTTGCAAGAGTCCAATTTCTAAGTATCAGCACTTAGGCCTACTCTGATGATTTTCAATTGTTTTACTTTTTTCCAAACACCAAATATAATTCCCACAAACAGTATTGTACAGTAATACTGAAAGGTCCACTGATTAATCTCAGATAAGTATAATACATACTCCAAGTATTGAAATACATGCCATCGTGTTGAGATTGAATATTTCAATATATGTCATCATCATGAGGAATACTTGGTGTATTGTATTTCCCCATCAGTAGTATGCACCCTTGTTAAACAGGCAGATGATTCTACACTTTATAATTTGACTGTATGCTGCTTTACCTCCTTTTATCAGGATTATGCCATCACACTATTCAGGAAAATGTTCACAAAACCTCATACTTTTCATGTCTTGCAGGATGGGTCATGCTTTTCATGTCTTGCAGCATGGGTCATGTTCAGTTGGTGCATCTGCAAAAAAATGTCGAAAAAAAAAAAAAAAAAAAAAAAAAAAAAGATTAAGAAACAGCAGGTAGAGACGACAATAATTTTATTAATTTTAAGGAATGAAGAAATTATATCAATCGGAATATTCTAGGGAATTTTTATTCCTTGTTTTTCTTAAAAGGTGGAGTTTCCCAAAAACATCCAGACGGAGAAGAAAACAAAAATAAATTTGTATTGGTGAATGTAAACTATAGTAATAGGATGGTTTAAATGCTTTAAATTTATATAATTGGGAAGAAAAATACATATTAATTTTGCAGATTTCAAGGCAGCGGTGGGCATAATAAAAATAAAGACAAGACTATATTTTTATAAAATTCTATTTTTATTCGAATTGAATTGCATTTATTCGATATAAACACCAAGGAAGAAGACAATTCAAGTGGGGTCCTTCTGGTGGTGCTTGGGCATTGCACCAGTAGACAATCCCCTACTCTTTTTAAGAGTGTACTGCGGGTTTGCAAAACAAGGTAGAAAAAAAAGAAAACAAAATCAAACGAACATGTTAAACAAAAGAAAATGTTAAGTATTGATATTTAAAGATGTATGGTCACATGAAAAATACCAAAATGTAAAATCACTTTTAAAATAAAAATTATCAATTTATAAAAATTAGTTTTTCTAAAAAATCTTCACAGCGAAAATGTTAGAAAGACTTAAATCACTGGAAGTGTTTTATTGTTTTTATTATTTATCGGTTATAAAAATCAGGGTACACATTGTCAAGTTAATTTTTTTTTTTAAATCATTTTCAGGGGACAAAATCAAATCTAATTTTTAAAAGTCTGGACATGGCAGACTTTAAAAAATGGTTTCCAATAGTCTTTATTTTAAATATTTGTTGCAAACGATTGCTGACAGAGAATGGAAATCTGCTATTACAAGAACAGTGCTTGTATGCACCCATATATTCAGACACAATATGCCAATGTTAAGGCAAATATGAGAAGCTGACTCATATCACATAAAAGCTTTATTTAAAACAGAAATTTGGCTAACAGTTGTTATTCTGCTGGCCGTGTATTATACTTAAACATACAGAAATCAAAAAGAAACTAAGAAAAATAACTTTAAAAATTAATCAAAATTAACTATTGTTTAACTACCAAATATTTTAATTACCTTAGTGAGAAGATTCATCTGGACATCTAGACTGTATTTGTTAAATTTTTTTTTTTTTTGATCTAAAATATTTGAAATAAATTTTATTGCGTTTTATTAATCTTTCGCTGGTTTTTAACACAGCTTAATCATGAGCGAGTACATGCACCTTGGGAACGATTTCGCTGTCGGTGTAGCACCATCTATCGACCTTGGATTGGAGCTGCCCAAACTATATAACATACTTAAAGGAAGAAGCCTCCCACCTACCCTTCCACCTCCCCCGACAAATCCCATTCAGCCAAACCCGAATGGTAAATAGGTGGCGCTACACTGACAATGAGATTTCACGAAATTGTTCCCAAGGTGCATGGACTTGCTCATGATTAAGCTGTGTCAAAAACCAGCGATAGCTCCAAAATAAGTTAACATATTTAAAATATTTCGGATCATTAAAAAAAAATCCTATTTTTTTCTGTCTTTTGTGGGGATTTCACCCACTTTTATTTCATTTCTTTGTTTTTTTGGTTTTTTTTCCAATTGTTTTCATTTAGAAAATGACTAGAAAAAACATATATATGTAACATAAACAGTAATTTCTATATATGGTAGCATAATAATAATTATATATATATATAAATGTGTAACACAAACAGTAACCTACTAGGGGACCAATATTTTGACTATGTATGGGATAAAATGGAGTTTTACACACTTCAAAAGACTGTCACAGAAATAATTTGCACTGTCTTATGCGCTTACAAAGATGAAAATTAGCATAATGTATTAATTTTGATAACAAAG